GCCCCCAGAAGCCGCGGGGACGGGGGAGGGCAAGCGACCCCGAGAGAAGGGGGGCAGTCGCGCAGCTTCCCCTCCCTCGGTACGTCCGTGCCGCTATGCAGACATCCGCCAGTCAGAGCAAAGTGGCGCCGCGCCGTCATCTTCTCAGCAGGCCCCTGAGTCCGCCCAACGCCCACGGCGCGACGGGAGGCAAAGCCGACCCCCATTGACCGCGCCTGGAGTGCGTGGAGGGGCACCTCCAGCCGTGCCGGAAGCGAAGGACCGGGCAAAGATGACCGTGGCAAGGGCGTTTACGACAGCTGGGCGGATCGCCGTTACGACGACCGCGACCAATGGCGCCGCGACGGCGGGTGGCAGTGGTAAGCTCCAGACGTCCATGCGCCCATGGCGCTCTGGTGGCTATGCCGGTGCAGACACCTACATTCTCGGCCCATGGCCGTATGATGTACCGCATGTGGCAGGCGGGGCTGCTGGCGGCTGTGAGAGCCTCGCACCCGCGCGAATCTGACACTCGGCCCATGGCCGAATGGTGCACACCACGTGGCTGGCGGGGCTGCTGGCGGCTGTGAGAGCCTCGCGCCCGCGCCCGTCTGAATTCGGTGCCGTCGGGAACGTGGGGTCCCGATGGTGCTCCGTCGGCCCCGGCCGGCCGCTGCGGCCGGGCCGCCGCGGGGGGAGTCGTTGCCATGCGCTCCCTGCCGTCGCTCATGTACATATCGAACATTGCTTGTACTGATAGTTGACCATAGCTACTTCGGATTGGAAAAGGCCGCGCGCGTGCCCCGCGCGCGTATCGATTATGCAACACATTTTCCTTTCCACATTGCTTAACGGACATTCTAACCTTTACTTTCCGCCATGTCCTTGGATCCCTTACTATGGACCCCAACATTACGACCAGTACTACCTGATGATTGGAGCCCTGCTGGGCTTAAATTGGGTAGAAATGGGAGGAGGAGGAGAGGGAGGAGGAGGAGGAGGAGGAGGAGGAGGAGAAAGGAGGAGGATGAGGAAAAGGAGGAGGAGGAAGAGGAGGAGGAGGAGGAGGAGGAGGAGAAAGATGATGATGATGCTGATGCTGATGCTGATGATGATGGCGATGATGATGATGAGGAGGAGGAGGAGGAAGGAGGAGGGGAGGAGGAGGAGGAAGGAAGAGGAGGAGGAGGTTGAGGAGAGGAGGAGGAGGAGGAGGAAAAAGAGGAGGAGGAGAGGAAGAGGTTGGGGTTGAGGAACAGGAAGAGGAAGAGGAGAGGAGGTTGAGAGGAGGAGAGGAGGAGAGGAGGAGGAGGAGGATGGGGGAGGAGGGGGAGGAGGGGGAGGAGGAGGAGGAGGAGGAGGAGGAGGAGGAGGAAGGAGGAGGAGGAGGAGGAGGAGGAGGGAAGAGGAGGAGGAGGGAGGAGGAGAGAGAAAAGGAGGAGGAGGAGGAGGAGGAGGAGGAGGAGGAGGAGGAGGAGAAAAAAGGGGAGGGGAGGAAGAGGAGGAGGAGGAGAGGAGGAGGAGGGAGGAGGAGGAGGAGGAGGAGGAGGGAGGAGGAGGAGGAGGAGGAGAGGAGAAAGGAGGAGGAGGAGGAGGAGGAGGAGGAGGAGGACGAGGAGGAGAGGAGGAGGAGAGGAGGAGGACGAGGAGCGGAGGAGGAGGAGGAGGAACAGGAGGAGCAGGAGGAGGGGAGAGGAGGAGAGGAGGAGGAGGAGGAGAGGAGGAGGAGGAGGAGGAGAGGAGGGAGGAGGAGGAGGAGGAGGAGGAGGAGGAGGGAGGAGGAGGAGGAGGAGGAGGAGGAGGAGGAGGAGAGGAGGAGGAGGAAGGGGGGGAGGAGGAGGAGAGGAGGAGGAGGAGGAGGAGGAGGAGGAGGAGGAGGAGGAGGAGGGGGAGGGGGAGGAGGAGGAGGAGGAGGAGGAGGAGGAGGAGGAGGACGAGGAGGAGGAGGACGAGGAGGAAGAGGAGGAGGATTTTTTCCCTCAAACAAGCAATCCTCGCGGCCATGCTTTGTTAATACTTCCTCTGGTGCGCTGTGGGCTGTGGTAAGGATCGCAACGGAAGCAGCCGAGCATACCTAACAAATTAGATAATTCAAATAAGAAGAGTTGACTATGTGCCCGAAGGCGAATGGCTTGTGCTGCAGAAAAGAACTGAAGCTGCGGGCCGTAAGGCGGGGCCCGCTCCCTAACATTATCGGGTAAGTCAAGCATTGATGTACTATCGAACCGTAATCTGACCGGCTCTGAAGCCAGAAACGGAGTGTAACGGAAACCAAAGGGCGGAGCCGGAAAGGGAGGCGAGCAGCCCATGTCCAGCCAACCGGCACCCAAACACCATCCAGGCGACGAGATGTGGCAGGAACGCTGGGCAAGCCTTACGGAGCACGCCTATGCGGCCTCCAGTTGTTCCACACATGATAGTTTTGAGTCGCGGAAGGAATGCCCGATGCAATCGCGTCCAATATTTCATTGCATACGCCGTCGGCGTCCGCATTGTACTCTCGATATATGTGCCGGATGTGGACGGATTGCGCAGACGGCTCTTCCCCGAGTCGTCGAGACATTTCCAGAGCGCGCTCATATAGCGGCTGGAGATCATGGTCCCGGCATCTCCAAACCCCGTTTATTTGCTTCACCACTAACAAGGAGTCAACATAGAAAATAACATGGTTCGGAGGGTATTCCAAAGCATGCAGCATGCATTCAAGAAGGTCCGAGTATTCCGCTCGGTTGTTGGTCGTATCTCCTAGCCCGCCACCGCAACAGGCTTCAACGCAGCGGGCCCCAACCGCATAGCAAACGCAGCCATATGAGGACTGTCTCGCCTGTGCAGTGCCCTGGTTGCGCGCTGCACCGTCAGACGTGTAAACAACGACACCCGGCTCAAAAACCGGTGCGTGTGCGCGCATCCTACGGCGTTCCTTGCGGGTCGTGGCGACTGGGCTTCCCGTGATCCACGGGCCATTGCACAAACGCTTTGCATGCAAGACCATATCATCAAATGAATGGAAGCGCCTCCCGTCGAGGAGCAGGCGCCGCAAGCGAGCAACTGCACTTGTGAATGCTAACACGCATTGTACAACAGAAGCGCTTGGAAGACCGACTTGGAACCACATCTCGCGGGCTGTGAGGCTCGTGTAGGGGTTCGGGAAGCGAGCCTGGATTGCTGCAGTCTCAGGGCAAGCATCCCTGTGGCTCACCGAATCCCCGTTTGCAGCGCCACAGAAAGGACATGTCAGCACCGCCTGACCGAGCGCAGGCGCCAACCTGTGTGACGTGAGCTCCCCATTTAAGAGTCTCCGCATGATGGCAAAGCGATGCTCCCCGGGCACGTCAGACGGCATTTTCCTCAAGTTTTGGTTCACAGAGTCCCAAGAGAGATTGCGAGTTTGAAGTCGTATCCGCACGAGCGTTGCAGCTCCGGGGGCCTCGGCTTGGTGCATACAACGGTACACATACCGGTGCACTCCTGCCTCCCTGGACCGGCCGTTGCCCGAACGTGCGCGCTCGCTCAAAGCCTCAGAGACCGTGCGCCCAGCGATCATCAGAAACGCCCCGAAGGCCCGCGCATAACCTGAGAGCGGGCGCAGACTTATTCTGGCGGTTGGAGAGGCAAGGTCGTGCATGCACGCACCAACTTGCTGTTGGTCGATGCACCCCGCGCTCTCCAGCCGAAGCGTGGTGGTCAACAACGCAGCAACGTTCGCCAGAAACGGGTCGGCAGCCTCAACAAAAGTTCGGAACAAGCCCCTTGCGTGGCAGAAGACTTGGAAAGGGCACCAGCGCACGCGTTCGAAGAAAGATTGTGCCAGACATCGTATCTCGCTGAACGTGGTCTCGCTCAAGAAATGGAATTTCATTACATACGAGACCAAAGGAAGAGCAAAAACGTTCCAAGCGAGAAGCCGGGTGTCGAGGCCGGTTTTCGCCTGCCGGAGAATTGACAGTCGCTGGCGTAATTTGGCCAGGGGCTCCGCCATGACGTCAGCCTCAGTCGCTTTTGGCCCGTACCAGAATCCAAGCGATTTCTGCCGACGCACAATTTGGGGGTTCTCAAAAAGGCCGCATAACCATTGCACTTCCTCCGATGTAAGCGCACGGTTTGGCATCCATGCTGTCTTGCTCTTGTTTATGAGCTGCCCGGAGGCTTCTTCAAAACCTCCGACAAGATTCAGCACGGCAGCGGCGGCAACGACACCATCGAAGTCAATATTCCAATCGTCACAAAACCCCCACACATGTTTCACTCCGGGCACCCGCGTGGCCTGGTGTAGAAAAGGGTCCACTGCTATGACATAGACGAAGACGCTGAGAGGATGCCCTTGGCTAAAACCAGAAAGCAATGCAACTGCTGGGAAGACGTGGCCAGAGAAGCACAAGTACGTGCGCATTGTGGCGATGCATAAGTTGGCAAATTCCCCTGGCAATTTGCGGCGGCAGGCGGGTGTGCTCAAACACCGCCTCCACCCATTGCCAAGACAGGCAGTTGAATCCTTTGGTACAGTCGAGGAACAACAAAAAAACGTAGTGGTGAAGGACACCGCTGTGCGAGAGCAACCGCCTCAGAAATGCCAACCACGTTTCGTTCAATGCGCCCGCCCGTAACAAAAGCCTGTTGCCGTCTTCTGAGTTGCTCAGAGGCGGCGTGGTCAAGCAACTGCACGAATATTCTGCCCAGGACTTTGCCCAGGAAGAGGGGGAGGAAGGAGGATCAAGGAGGAGGAGGAAGGAGGAGGAAGGAGGAGGAAGGGGGAGGAAGGAGGAGGAGGAGGAGGAGGAGGAGGAGGCGGAGGAGGAGGAGGAGGAGGAGGAGGCGGATGTGGAGGCGGAGGCGGAGAAGGAGGAGGAGGGAGGAGGAGGAGGAGAGAGAAAGGAGGAGGAGGAGGAGGAGGATGAGGAGGAGGAGGGAGGATAAGGGAGGAGGCGCGTGGAGGAAACACGTTTAGGCAGGAGGCTTTGGTGTTGGCGGGAGCAGGAGTCTGAAGAGGCGGGAGGCCCAAGGCGCCCCGCGGGCCGCCCCAGGGCGTGCCCGTCCTGCACCTGGCGGAGGAGCTTGCGGCGGCCTGCCCGGAGGTGGTCACTTGGGGGGTGCTATATCAGCGCAGGGAGCGAGGAGGGAGGGAGGAGGAGGGAGGAGAGGGAGGAGGGAGGAGAGGGAAGAAAGAAACGAGGAGGGAGGATGAGCCAGGGAGGAGGAGGGGGGGAGGAGGGGGAGGAGGAGGACGAGGAGGAGGAGGAGAAGGAGGAGGAGGAGGAGCAGGCGGAGGAGGAGGCCCCTCCCGTCCGTCTACAATTACACATTCTGAATACTGATTTCCTTTTTCCCCTGACTCGGTCCGAAAGATGTTCGGCCGTTCCCTCATATATCTTTATCTCTCTCTATATATGTATCAAACATTAAACCAATGTGTATTACACTTGTTATATAAAAGGAATTCGAACATTCGTTTTCCATGAATGTGGTTTGCAATCCGATAGTTCTCCGTGTTTCGAAATGATGTTCCCGCTGCAGCGTGGGCCTCATTTTCGGATCGGGACTTTGCTCCCGTTGTTCAGAATAGCGCTCTCGCCTCAACACGGGCCGCTTTTCTGGATCCGAGTCTTCTTTTATTGCTGTCGCCCCTCTCATTTCCCCTTTGCGTTCCTTTGCTCCTTCCGCTCCTTCCACTCCAGCTCCTGCCGCTGCTGTTCGTCCTCGTCCTCCCCCTTCCTCATCCACCTCCGTTCCCTCCTCATCCTCCTGTTCATCCGCCACCTTCGCCTCCAATTTACGCAGCTCCTTATTCCGACCGCGCATGACACAATACGTAGGGTTCCTTTGGAGTTCCAGGTCCGCAGATGACACGCGACGGCAGATGGAGAAAAACACCGCGGTGGGAAGGACAGGGTGGGAGGGGTCGGATGGCAGATATGGCGCGAGCGCGCCCAGCTTGCCCCCTCCCCCCTCCCCCTTCGCCTTTCCCCCGCCTCCCCCTTCCCTGTATCTCCTCCTCCTCCTCCTCCTCCGCCATCCCTTTTCCTTATAGCAACTCCTCCATGTCGCACCCCCAGGCTTGTCGGTAGGGCGGCCTGGGCGATCCGCCTGAGACTTCCTCACCATTCCCCAAACAGTGCTTGCGCTTACGTTGGCCTTTTCTGCTGGTCTCACGGCTATGTTGCCGCCGTCGCCGCCCCGTCGCCGCCTCGTTGCCGCCACATTGGTCGTTCCACATAGGTTCCCCCCCAAAGAAGGAATTAGGATCTACCCCCTCCAGGGACTACCATCCGTTGTTGTTTCGTTTGTGAATTCCTTGTTCAGCCACGCACTTAGGGACAATGAATGACTGTTCGGCCCCCTCACTCTGCTATATAGATATGTATATTTATATACACAGATCATCACACATAGTCCCAGAAACACACTCTGTGGGGTCCACGCTGGTTAACATTTATGCTCCTGAAACTTGTAAGTTGCAGCAGTCTCAAAGACGGACGGCGGGTGGTTTTTTAACCTTGGCTCGCGCGCCAGTGCCGCGCATATTCGTTTTTTATGTGGCAACAGGTTCAGAGATGGAGGACAGGTCGTGTTCAAACTGTTGCACTCGCGCCGCGCACATTAGTCTTCAAAGTTTGCTGCAGTTTTAATGATGGACGGCGGCTGCCTCCCAACATGTTACTCTCGCCGTAGCGCCGCGCACATGTTTGCAACAGTCTCTAGGGTTCGTATGTTTCAAGTTCCAGAGATGGTGTCCTGTTGCGTCCTGCCGACCCCCTTCTTTCCCCTACTTCGCATTGCCCTGATTCTTCTCCTCCTCCTCCTCCTGCTCAGGGGTCATTCCGATTCCGCCGGTTCGATTCGAATCGATTTCCGCGATTCCGATTTCGAACCGACTCGATTCCGGGATTCCGATTCGCGATTCCGATTTCGAGTTCGCCCGATCCGGCTTCTGCCGATTCGATGCGTCAGCCGATTCCTGGCGGCTTTTGCCGATCCGGCTTCGCTCCGGCTCTGGCCCCCAAGGGGAGGAGGAGGAGGGAGGAACCCCCAGGGGGGAGTCCAACCCCCCCCCTCCCCCAGGGGAGGGGTCCAAAACCCCCGGGACCCCGAACCCCCCCCAGGGGGGGGGGTCCAAAAGCCCCCCCTCCCAGGGAGGGGTCAAAAACACCCCCCCTCCCAGGGGGGGGTCCAAAAACCCAAACCCCCCTCCCAGGGGGGGGGGGTCCAAAAACCCAACCCCCAGTTAGATTGTGTGTATGAGTTCGGGGTAAGAGGCTTCAGAACCATCAGAGATGTTTGAGATATGTTTGAATGTTTATTCGACTATCCGTAAACGCTATGGCTCAAGCCATCAATGGTTCGACAGCTCACGCTGGAAAACTAACTTTGGTAGCGCTGATGTGGTGGCAGGTCCTTTGAGACTCGCCGTCTCTCTGCCCTCAGCTTCGCCGACTGGTTCCGGCACAGCGTCGATTGCGACGAGAGCCTTTACATGTCCCAGCAGCAGCATACGTACGCGAGCAAGCTCATTGTACACATCCTTGCAGCTGCAGTTTCACTCACCCTCATCACGGACACCCGGCACGGCAAGTGAACGCACTTAGCCATGGATTATGGAGATACTTCAGGCAGTGGTGGCGGTATCCCGCTCGACACGTTCAACAAGAACACGCCACCAGGATGGCGGCCAGGCAACGGCAAGTACCCGCTGCGCCGCTACATCCAGCTGCTCAGGCTATGGTGGAGGCAGACAGATCTGCCAGAGCATGCAGCTGGCCCAGCGATGGCAGGACGTCTCAGAGGTTCGGCGTTCCAGATAGCTATGAAGATGAAGCGCGACAGACTGGACCTCAATGTAGGAAAACGTCGTGAGATGGAAGGAGACGAACTGCTAGCTCAGCCTTCACATCCAGAATGGCAAGACTCTGAAGGCGTTCAACACCCCGCGGAGCCAGCTGGAGCCTCGGTCCTGATGGACATTCTCGTTCAAGAGTTTGAAGTTCAAGATCAAGATATGTCATTCGTGGCTTTGTCAAGTTTCTTCTCACTTACCAGAGGCCACCTTCCAATGAATGACTTCCTCACGATGTTTCGCCTGTGCTTCGAGGAGGCCTCAGACAAAGGAGGCCTACAGCTCAACAACGTCGGCAAGAGTTTCCTCCTGCTTCAGATGTCAGGCTTATCAGAAAAGATGCGGACCGACCTACGTATGCAGATTCAAGGAGACCTCAATCGTTTCCCCGAGCTCATCGCCTTGATGCAGAGAATGGCAAATCACGAGTATCAAGGCACGACATCTTCGATTCCAGCCATGGTCTCACAGTACTGGACAGATGAAGGAACCTACTGGGAGTCGGACTACGACTCTCCTGAGACATGGGCTTCAGATGGATCGTGGATGTGGGTCGGCTACGGCGAGGACGAATGGCAGGACGGAACGTGGTACGACGACGGCACGGACTGGGAGACCAGTCACGACGAGGAGCACGGCACCTATGACGAGGAGTACGAGGAGTACACCGAGGAGGACTACTACGGCGGAGGTGGCCAAGGCCGTGGCAAGGGCCGAGGCCGCGGTGGCAAGAAAGGACGAGGAGGCCGCAAGAGTGGAGGCAAAGCATCATCGTCAGACGGATGCACGACCTGCGGCTCTCCACTGCACTCGAGCGCGGACTGCCCGATCGTCAAGTCTTCGTCGAGTTCACCTTCCAAGACAGGTGACTACTACGGCAAGAAGGGCAAGTACCGCAGCAACAACAAAGGAAAGTATCGCAGCAAGTCCAAGTCCAGCAAGAACGGCAAGGACAGCCGCTCAAGTGGCAAAGGTTTCGGCAAGCCGTGGAGGAGCACCAGCAACGGCAAGGGCAAGAGGAACGGCAAGAGCAGTAGCTACTACGAGGACGACTTATCATGGCAATATGACGAATATGATGGAGAGAGCAGTTGGTTCACTCATGGCATTACGACCACATGCGATGGAGACGTGACAGCTCCTAAGCCAGAACTCTTTACCCTAGGCTCGCCATCGGCATCGATTGCAGCTGGACCGAAGATCACGCTTCCAGTCAAGCAGACCGTCCAGCTGGGCACCAAGTTCAACGCGGATGCGGCAGTTGTTACGCCCACCGAGCAGACTACGGTTTTCAATTTCCCCACTGATCAATCAGCAACGACGCCTGATACGTCGTCAGCATCCGGAGCAGCCCGACCTGTGGCAGGCCCGCTGCTCAAGAAGTCGATTTTCATGACGATGGCGACGATCAACATGGCGTACAACTACCCGGCGAGCAACGAGACGTTCGGCACCATGCACGTGGTTCAAGGTGTGGAAAGGCTGGGACTCCTAGTGGATACAGGAGCATCCTCAGCCCTGATGGGCACCGACACGCTGCGCGTCTACCTGGACAAGATCGTCGAGCCGCTGGGCATCATGAACGAGGTGCACTTCGGCCCCTCGACGTCCATGTTCACAGGAGTCGGAGGCAGACCCGAACCGGGACTGCGCGTGTGCACCATGCCTCTCGGAGTTCCTGGGCTACCAGGAGCTACATTCTCGACCGACCTGATCGGCAACAAGGGCTCATCATGTCCTGGTTTGATGCCGTTACCAAGTATGGTGGATTGCAGTGCGTTGGTAGCTTGCGGTGTCTATGACAACCGAGACGGCATCATGATCATTTCAGCTCCCGGCAGGCACAAGCAGGATCCTCCTCAAGTGGCATTGGTTCGTATTCTCTACACCGACTCCAATCACTATCTTTTGCCAACAGACAGGTTCGAACAGACTGCACTGGAGATTGCCGAGGAACAACGAGATCTCTGGAAAGTTCTGAAGGCCCACTGGTTTGACAAGTATCAACGAGGAGTATCGGCAAACATCGAGTGGGCATTCAACCTCGACAGGTCGGAGATCGAAGGTCCGCCACCCTCAGGCGTGGAAGCAGCTGTTAGAGACTCACCACGCCGACAAGAGGCTAAAAGGACAGGTATCGGACTCGTTCAAGATCCTCCGACGCAGCTAGCATCATCATCAGGCAGTCAGGTGAACCATGACATCCATCAAGCAAAACTGTCGCCGGCAGCAGCTGCATTGTTT